GTACTGGCGGGTACCTTCCTCCCCTCCGTTTTTGAGGGCTTTGTTGCCCCCTGTTTTGTGGCCTCTTGGGCTTGTTCAGGTTCCTTGCCAGAGGAGAGGGCCCTGAACGTAACCCTCGAGAAGTTGTAGTGGGGTCTGTATGGGATCTCACCAGTTCTGGTCAATGAGGATCGTTAGCAGCCTACCGCTGGCTTGCTCGTTCCCCAACCTCACAACCTTCCAGGTACTGGTGTTCAGATTATTCTGGACACCGATCCTGTGTAGTGTCCTCTCCGGAGGAGTAATTTTGGGGATGAACACTATTGCCCTCTTTGGCTTGGGACGCCTGTTTGCTTCCACAAGCACCAGTCCAGGGTTTCGCCTCTCCCACCATCGCGCCGATCCAGTCCACAGTGGCCTAGTCAGAGCAGGTGATCAGAAGGGCGCCCCCCTGGTAGCGGCATTCTGCAAACTTAGGATTCGTCGTCCCTGGTTGCAGTTGATCGATTCTCTCAAGCAGGTGCCTCTATGAGTTCCCCCTGCTCAGGAGAAAATTTTTTCTCGGGATGTCCGACCGCCGCTATGGCCATCTTAATCCCGGAAATCGCGTCCCTGTACGATTTGTGTGCGGTTCCTTTCCTTGTGGAAGTTCCCACACACGGCCGCTTAGGTTGCGGTTTATCGGGTTGCTGCCATCCAACCGGTGTCGCTTTTGCGTCCCAGTCGTGGCATTTTGCTTGGTATGTGCTGATTCCCCCGAGGGTGTATCTGGCACAGTTTTAGTTGGTTCAAACTTTTCTTTGTCCCTAACCATTTTTTTCTTCCGTCTGGCGGCTCCCGAGAGTTTTTTGCCTCTCGGTCGTTTGCCAGCTGCGGAGCCCGACGGGTCTTCTGAGGAAGTCCCGCCGGTATTTTGTGGTGTTATAATATTGGTCTCCATATCATTCCCACGAGCAGCTAGGGAAAGAAAGGCCCCCCACACAGAGCCCCGCATGTGTGGGCAAGGCTGATACAATGAGGTGCTTTTGCTTCTTTTGCAAAGCTGTTTTGTGCAGATACCTATATAAAAACTGATGACATTCGATTCAGCAGTTCAAAATACATAAACGCATATGTAAATGGAAACAATTGCCAATTTTTGTTATTGATTTTCAAGGTTGCAAGAAAATTATTTGTTTTTGAGTCATTTTTGCAAGTTTTTTATTATAACTTTTTTTTAACGCACCACTAGATTCAGTAGTTCAAAACAGATGAAAAAAATATATAATTTAAAACACTATTGAATCATCATGGTCGTTACAGGCTAATTTATTGTCATGTTTTCACTTATTTATCGAGTTTTCAATAAAGACACGAAAATCCTGTATATCGATAATTAAGCATTTGCAAATGGGTGCATGGGAAAAACAATCTTTGGTTCGATAATCCAGTATATCCAGTCCAAACCAATTCCTAAACACATTGTATAAAGTAGGCTAATATAATATTTTGATCGATTAGGGCTGAATGTTGCTGCTCAATGAATTATGAGGATTTAAAGAGGGGCTGGGAAGGTTCAGCTATCTTGAATCACGGCTCCCTTTTGAAATTCGGCTGTATCAGCTTCGTTTTTTCTATTGTAGAAAGTTCAATGTAACACATAAAGAAATGGATTCATAAGGTTAGTTAAGGTTGTAAGATTTATTCAAGTGTTGAAAATAACAGTTTTTTTTTTTCAAAATAAACTACAAAGTAATTGTTAAGCAATTTCGATTTAACTGAAACTGGGTTATGCAAAAGTATTTTAGTAATATTCCTGTTTATGTGAATTTTTCAAGTATAATATGAAAAAAAGTGTTCATTAATTCAATGAATTTTCATGTAATACTGAAATGTTTATATAATTTCGAGTAAAGGCTAATTAATACGACGTTTGGGAAAGTATTCACAAATGCGACACAATTATTTCATGTTGAAAATTAGCGTAAGTAGATTAGCGTATGCAGAGTGGATCGGTTAAGATGGGAACACCTGTAAAATGTACCTACGATATACAATTTTGTTTAAGAAAAACGTGTATGTGGAGATTTCTTAGACACAGCTACGACTCCAATATATCTAGGCTATAACGAATTCATAACGTACTAAAGATTATTTTATGCGATTTTGTGGACATCTCTCTAAGCCGGTAATACTTTGCCTGGTTTTCATTCGACAATATGTACTTTTCTTCACACAAACCATGCGATGACTAACTTATTTAAATTCACGTTGTCGGCTGTTTATAATTTTATTTTGTTATAAACACACCTGGGTGTAGAAACATAATGTTAATAAAATTCGTCGGATTTCGTGCATTGTATAATTATGATTTCAATCGTTATCAAGACATATACTGGACTTGCATATAGAATAAATAAATGATAAACATATAATACCAATTGACGTTTTGATGTTAAATGTTTCTGTTACGTACAAAAATATATCAGCAATAGTAAATTGCAGTAATAGTTTACACAGGGGTTCCCATCCTGGTATACATCACTCTGTGTGCCCACGGGCACCAATTGAGATTGGAACCGAAAATGCTTTTTATCATTTTGCGGGACTTGTAATTTTGTACTATATAGCAGGTACATATTTGTAAATATTTAGTGGTTAACTAAGGTAGAATTATTCACTCCAAGTAAGTTATTAACTATTTTTTTGTATATATTTGAGTATCTACAGTAGTTCTAAAGTCACGTATTTCAATACTGAAGGTTGATTATATGTTGAAATACAAATATTTTTATTTAAAGTGTTTGTTTTATTAGATTGGACAAATCGGACACTAAAACCCCTTTTTAGTATAGCAAATTATTTTATTTTATTATTATTATCAACAATAAATTTAGCCTGCAGAGGGTCTATTCAGGAAATCTATGGTGATTTTCAGAAATTCATTTGGTTTCTCTGCATGCAACCAATGTCCTGCTCCTTCAATGTATTTCAGTTGAGCGTTTGGAAAGAACTTCAGTATTTTGGGGAAATCGGTTTTTCTGAAAACGGAAAATAAAACGCAATTACTTCAGACCTAATTTAGATACTAGAACGTGTACATAACATAAAAATTACATAAAAGGGAAAAAATCAGTGTAGTTTTTACAGTAATTCGAAATTGATTTGTGCATTTTTACGTAAACACCTGAATTTAAAACTCTTATGTTCGAACATGTGAGGTTCTTTTGGTAAACTAAGGAATCGGTCATATAGCTCGTACTTCAAATGATAGCGCCTTTGCCAACTCATTTTAAGGTTTAAATTTTTTTTAAATTCTATTCTTGAAGAAAGATATTCAATTTTAATCGAAATTGTTGGAGATTAACTCAAAATTTACAGAATGCAAAATTTTGTACCCAGTTCCATCTTTCAAAGCCAAATCAAGACAATATAGAATTTAAAAAGTATCTCCAAATAATCATCATCGGAAAGCTTGATAAAAACAAAATTTAATAAGTTGTGTGCAAACAAATTCTGACACGAGGGCTGTTTTTAAGGAAAACCCCTCAATTATACGTACTGAAGTCCAATTAACTGCACACTATGTGGGAAATTCATGTCTTCTGTACTAAAATTAGTGCGGTAAATAACCGGTTTACTCATACCACTAAGCAAACATTTCAGTAGAATCGAAACAGTTTTGAACACAAGACAGGTACTAAGAAATATATATGAAAAGTAGATGTTTTAAAGAGTTTACATAAGCGCATTCAACAAACTGTCGGTTTTCGATTTTGTTGGTAAATGTAAACATTATGGTATGGTTAATATTGAAAAAAGTTTGCTGCGTGCTTTATGATGATCAAGAGTTGCAAAAAATAAAACTTAATAATTTTGAGCAGAAACGCAAATGTATGAAAAGCTTATCATGAAATGCTTCCAAAAGAATCTAAAAAATAATAATCGAATGAGAACTGAAGCCCTAATCAATGAATGTTGAAATGAGAGATACCCTGCTAAGCGTGTAAATGTTGCGACAATTAATCACTCTTCCTGTGGACGCTAAGGAGTAAATAATTAAACGTTCAATTCTTACTGAATATAATCCGATTTTCCACCTCCAAGAAATAGGACGGGGCCTTTATACTCTAAATTGTGAATTTCAGGGAATGAGGACAATTCATCAAAGAAATCAAGCAGCGCTTTATTGTTAAATCGCCATGAATAGCTGAAAGCAGTAGTATTATTTTGCGAAATTCTAGACAATTATAAACGGAAATACCCTCCGTCTGATTTTTGAATCAAATTCATTAAAACCAGCGACATAAGTTCTTTGCTTTTCACTATTCGAGACAGGCAATTTACAACGTGAGCTCTAGCTTGAGGCAAAGGCAAGTTCGGTGGGAATACTAAGTTGTTCAAGATCCGCAAAACGTCCGGGAATATTTTGAAACTGCGACTGGTCGTTATTGGCGATGTTTCTGAAATGATTAGCTTCTCAACTAATTCAGGCTAGAAATAATGCGTTAACGGCCTTATAGTTAAGTTACTTTAACAAAAAAGCTTACATTTTTCAGTGCTAATAACATTCCAATGCGACCACCTATATCATGACCTAAAACGCAGGTTTTTTCCAGCCCAACTGTTTTGAGGAATTTCAAAATGTCCATAACCAAATCATCGTAAGAGTTATCTTTAGAATGAGCGGAATCGCCATGATTTCTAAGATCGACTGCATAGACTAATCTTTTTGGTTTTACCCTGTCGTGATACCTTGGGTTTTTACAAGTTAGAAATATTCTAAGCATTGAGCGGAACTAGCTACCTTTTGCATAAAGTATTAAAATTTGATTTCGATCCTAGAAATCCATGTAATATAAGTAAGGGCGAGGGAACGTCTCGGAGTTTCACTTTTCCGAAAATCGTATCAGTACTCTGATATGAAGCATATGCTAAATCCACAATATGTTTATAGTTTTCTGTCTGGGCCAGATCTGTTTTGAACCGAACATTGATGGGAATGCATTTTACTATGAGAAAGTTTAGTCCACATTTACTGAAAATTTTGTGCAAAGTCATATTGACAACATTAAAATCACATCTGATAGTTTAATGTGAATATAAATTACAGGTAAAAATAGGTCTGAGTCGGACAAAATACTTACGGCAGGTAGTCTGATTTTTCGCCTCCTATAAACAACGTTTCTCCGGTATATTGTGCAGTATTTTCCACATCGAACCTGCCTACTTCTTGGAATGCTTTAAGAAGTGTTGGAACGTTAGCCCTCCACTTATAGCTGCAATTTTAGATGTTATAAAAATATGTTTATCTAAATCAAAAGAGATTGCCACCTTTTGTCCTCAGTAGCCATCAAGTTAGTCAAAATGAAGGCTCTAACGCCTTTATCGGGTATAACTTCAGCTAGTTGTTGCTCAACAATGCTTCGGGCCTGGCTAAGTACTACATTCTTTGGCATTTCAGTTCTGCAAGCGTATATTTCATTAGTAAAATTTAATTTTTTTAATTACATACGCTCGAGAGAGAGTCTTAAGAACGTATGGGCCCTAAAGAAATTGTCACATTTGGTACATAATATTGGCGAATACCCTGTATGCTAAAACTGACGAGTTTTTCGTCTTAAAAGCCCTAGCAAAAAACTAACCAGTTTCCCACAATAATTGCGAAAGCTTAAGTCTTTTAACCTTGTATGTATACTATTTGTCCATTTTTGTAAGAAAATTAGGGAATAGTTGAACGAAGGAATTAACTTCCATAACTCGTTGGATAATAAAAATGTACTGAAAATGGCTGTCGCGAAAGCAAACAAAACGTCTCAGTGCTCTTTACGATCGAAAATGTCCCGTTTAAACCCTAATGTATAAAACGAAATGTATTCAATGTTATTGAACTATTAAAACACCACTATTACTTACATAGTCTTACCTGTTCATAACATCTATTATTTTCGACATTTCACTGAAATTGGGACTTACATTAATGGGCGAAATATCCACCACAATTAATTTTTCTAACAGTTTTGGCTAAAAGAAAATAAATAGTAATCAATGAAAAAATATAATTCTACATAAAATAATTTCCTTACACAAACAGATTAGATTGTATCAGTTAAATGTGCAACTTATATAGATAGATAGAGATTTGCCATTTTACTCACATAAGTTAAGGCAAATAACATAGCACATCTACCCCCCATTGAATGTCCCATAAGGAAGATTTTCTCTAGGCCATTGTCTTCTAAAAAAAGGCGAAGATCTTCGGCCAAATGAGCATAAGTATGATTTTCTGAATGGGGACTATCACCATGATTTCTCAGATCTACAGCTGGAATTTTGGAAAATATCAACATTATTGGGGTTTTCATATACATGAGCATTTTAAAAAAATGTCGAACGAAAATTTAAAGTTTTTCCATCATAATTTGGTGTTTTCTGCATATGTAACGAGGTGTTTAGCCATTGGAAATTTCTATGTAATTGTATTAAAGTATAATATGTAAAAGAATTAAATAAGCAAGACCCAGCACTTCATTGGACAAAAATAATAACATTACTAGACCGTGGTTATTAAAATATCAAGTTAATAAAATAAATGGTGGTTGATAAAAAGTGAGTTATTTTATTTCGCATTAGTTTATTGTGGCAAATTTGGATTGAAGGTTATCATCATTATCAAACAATAACGAACCTAAGAACATCCTTTTGATCAACCCCAAATTCCTATATTAACGTATAATATAGCAAGATGTTTAAAAATATATACAAGGTGTTTCCTCATAAACTGCATATATTTTAATATTGTGTATAATTTTATTTTAATTGGGACTTTTTTAATAGCCTTTTCTGCGGCAATGTTTTATTTTTAAAAAATACTGAAAAATCGCGCAGTATTGATACCGCTTTCAGACCAGGGGCGGATCCAGCTTTCGAGTCAGGGGGGGTCAAGTAGTAGAAAATTAGAAAAATTATTGTTAGTCGTTATAAACCCAGCACAAGGGTCATGACCCCCCCCCCTGGGTCCGCCCTTGTTTCAGACCTGATTAAAAGGAATCTACCGGACACAAGAAGAAACGGTACTCAACTAAACTGCTCAACAAAATAAACGTTCCACTAAAAAATTTAGACTAATTTTGAAACTGGAATAATTTCTTATTGCTACACGCGAATTAGCTTCTGCTTGACGCGTTATTTATTCCCCAATCCTTTTTGCTAGTGCTTGTTTTTTGCAAAAAAAAATATGCTTGAGATAAAGTGTCTACAGGGTAGCAACTAAAACAATGCAGAATTGGTGAAAGTTCTACATGTCTTTAGTTGGACAAAAAAGTTTGTTTCCGTTTTAACGACACATAAATTAATATCTCAAAAAAAGTTTGTGAATTTTTCGCCCTTCTCGTTTATTTACAGAGTGGTCTAAAAATAATCACCCCTTTTCGTACCTTTATCGTCTTGCAGTGATATTTTTTTTGTTTTGAACTAACTAGCATAACATAAGCTCCTGTTGAAGCTAAAGGTTTGCAGTAGGCATGATAATAAATAAAATATGCAGGTTTGCAAGAATGAACGAAATATTTTGAAATTAACTTAACTTTAGTTGAAATTGATAGAATCACAGATTTCGGTGGCGATTCTGACTTGGTCGGACGCAGTTCGGACCAGAAAGCACCCGAAGGACTACCGGCCTAAGGGGTTTATGATTTAATGCGGTTCCATATCGAATTACTTTTTGCAAGCGTCTTGCGAGACTCGCAAGACTTGTAAAAGTCGTGGTCTTGAAGAACATGGTCTTGGTTTTGTTCTCGGTCTTGCAAACCGAAAGAAATTCTTGGTCTTTTTCAAGACCAAGAGTATCATCACTCATCACTATAGTCGACTAAGATTTATATGCGAGGATGACGAGAATCTAAGAATTTGTTGGCCTTTTATAAATGCCTGTTCGGCTACAAAATATTTATCCATCTGCTCCAATCTGATTCAAATTATCTTAAAGAAGCAGATGTTTTGGACTTTTGAATCTTTTTTTCCAAGAGCTATGAGGAATACATTGATATTTTCAAACAAATTTAACAGAAAATAAGAAGTAGATAAGTTCTATAGTTGTTGAGGCGGATTTATTTTTTACAAACTTCTTTTTGGGTATTTCGCCTCAAAAATTTTTGTGTTTAAAAAAGACAGAATTTCCTCACGTCTTTTATTACAGATTGATAAATAGTGTTCCTATTTCGCAATAAGAACAAATTATTTATCAAAAAGTAATCAAGATGGATAATAATAATAATCAATAGGTGATAGTTCTTGATTACTTTTTGATAAATAATTCGTTCTTATTGCGAAATAGGAGCACTATTTATCAATCTGTAATAAAAGACGTGAGGAAATTCTGTCTTTTTTAAAGACAAAAATTTTTGAGGCGAAATACCCAAAAAGAAGTTTGTAAAAAAAGAAAATAAGAAGCTAGAATGTTCTTATTGTACGAGAACTAGAAAAATAACCAGACTTTAGGCATTGTGGCTCTCCATGCTGACGCTTAAACCGCCCACTCTACTCCCACTACCGTTCCACGTGCGCAGGATAGTATAAATACAGTGACAGCACCAGTTGAAGTCATCGAATATGAGTGACTGTTACCTAATCGCCTTTCCATAATGTTTACCAAAGAAATGAATGAAACGTGCGGAAGCAATTGCAATGGTTGAGAAGCCTTAATATCATTGTCTATGTGAATGAACCAGTAATAATAGTCTTACCAAAAATTTTTCTAGGTGGTTCAATCTTTTGACTGTAAGCTTTACATAGACTAGTCCAGTTCTGTTTCGAGCCAAACAGCCCATGGATTATCACAAATGGGGCTGCTTTACTTGTGTAGTTTTCATAAATAGTAAAAGCTAGTTTCACAGGTTGCAGCTTTTGTGAGGAAAAACTTTTTACATTTCGTCGACTAACGTTTTTCACGAATTTTAAACTAATTTCTTTATTTAAACTTAAAATATTTCTGATCATGTTCACTTTTTAAGGGAGTTATTATATTAATTAAGCAAAAACAATTAACAGATTGGAAAAGTAACATAAATCGAAAGTAAGGTTACGTCTTACGTAAACAATGCATAATACGTACGGATTTACACACGCATGCGGTGAGACCATACACATGTGTGTTGCATCCACCATTCTATAGTTATATATACAGGGTCATTAGAATTTACGCCATTTAGCTGAAGGGGTTATCGGGTTAAATTTAGGAGAAATATTAAGTGAAGGTAGTTTATAAATATTCAGTTATAGCTTCAATTTCACTATGAGCTCTAACCAAAGACATTAATTTATACAGATATTAGGTAATTTAGTACGCATTTGGGTAACTGACTCCAATAGTTTAAATAACGAATGATATCTATTCTTGCATATATAACATCTCTCACGAAAAAATCGTATAATAAATTTTAAACTTGCAGACCCAATGGTTCTTTTGAAAGATCACCGGTATTAAGACGATTTTGTAAATTTATAACCTTTAAATTAAGTTGTCCGTTAGTGATGTAAGCGGTAGTTTCGAATGACAACTAATAATTTCAATTATAAACTTCTATCCAAGTTTCGCAACTTCTTTAGGAATATTATAAACTATTGATTTTTGCTCGTGCAGCTTCGGCGTGTTGAGCGGTGTTTACAAGTGAACGAAGATCGAAGCGTGGCCTGTTTTCTTATGAGAAAATTGCAAACTTCATTCAGCGAAAAGTGGTCGAAAACCGCCTTTCAACGAGAAATACTACTAAGAAAAGTCGGTAGTAAAAGGATTATCCGCATAGTAAGTTTAGTTTTAACATCATACGCTATTGGGGCATAAACTAGGCAAATATCGAGTTTTCTTATCACGCTCGCTGCCCCTTAGAAGCTATTCTGCAATGGAACTCTGCGCGCAGAATGCATATTGAACACAGGCGATCATCCATTATAAACTGTTTATTATTGTCATTTACATTCATGAAACTATTTACACATATACACTTTATTCCTATCATACATCAGTGCAATACACTGGGATATTTCGTGATCGAAAAATACAAAAGAAAAATTCAGCTGTATGCTGTTGACACCCAAAAAATCGGTTATCTTTTACGAAGCATTTGTAAATTCTAAAGATTTTCTATTTGCCTACCCGAACGAATATTAGTCAATATTTTCCCTTTCTTTCCACATCCTTTTAAGTTCTCTAATTTTTTTCTTTCTTCTGATCCATGCTAGCTTTCCTGTTTGCCTGAAGCCTTGCCGTTTGAGATTGTACACTGTTCTCGCCATTTAAATGTATATCTAGTTTGGTGAGCAAATTCAATCTGGCTCGCTTCCGATTTTGCTCTAGAAATCTAGTCTCTTGACACTTTACGACTAACCCTAGAAAGATCATTTTGCCTTGCTGGTATAGTCTCACATATCTGATTGCCTTTTACCAGTAGGAATATGCTTGAGAAGCACGCAACTACAAGTGGTGCTTATTTTCGAACCTCCCGGTCCCGAACCCCTAATATGTTGTTCCTCCAAATCGCATTCATCTAGTGTAGGGAAACATGTTAAATCTATTTGCTTTCTCATAGAGGAATACCATCTAACAATGGATCTAGTGTATGAAATCTTGCAGCCCCAATTCATTCCGCAAATGCAGAATCTTGAAAAATGCAAGCCCTTAATTTTTTATCAAATATCCTTCAAATAGAGGAGAATTCAATAGAGTGATTTACCATTTACCAGGGAACAATTAAATAGTTGTAAATATTTACAATGTCCAGCTGATTCATGACAATGACGTGTCCGTCGAGAATTGTAAGGAATCTAAAGGCGCGTTCATACAGCATACTCGCGCGTGTTCACATAACATACACTCGGAATGTGTGTCGCAAATTTTTGTCGTCTTAATTCAACGTAATTTGAAAGATTTTACTAACGAAGCAAAACTAAATGTTTAAGAAATTAAGAGCAAAATATTTAAACGAAAGGCAAGAAACCAAATATAAAAATATAACATAAAGATTTTGCAAACTAAACAAAAACTCAATAGGGAAGTTTTCAGTAGTTGTAGAATTGTAGAAAACTCGGAAATAAGTCCAAAAAGGTCAAATCCCACTAGAATCACTACGAACATTGCTCACAACTTGCAGCCTATTTTATTAAGTCATTAGATGTGCCTTGTTGCTTTTTTCCCTTTTCAATAAATAGTAATGAAATACATATACAATCGATTTAGTGATAGTTTGTCGAAAAATTGACAAATGTTAAGGCGCACCTAAGCGTCACCTACTACGTTCCGTTTGCACAATTTAATGATATGATTTTTCTAAATATTCTAAAATTTTATTCCAAATTATTTGTCTAGGTGCAGATCAAGTTTAACGATTTTTTGGTTGATACTCGGTAGCCTTGATTTTTTTAAATTTTGACGTGATTTTCTCACGTAATCTTAGGTATTCATCTACCCATTTATATTTATTTTATTATCATGGGCAAGTTGCACGTTACTTTTTATTTATTTTTTTACTTGATTTCTAAGGTCCTCTCTGAGCCTTGATACCCAACTAATTTTTAGGTTTTTACATTTCGTGACTTGAAGAAATTTGAAAAAAACACGGAACAGTAATCACCAGCCAGTTTGTCTGCCTAATATTTAAGAAACAAAAATTTACTAAATTAAACGAGTGTTACTGACGAGTATGCTCAAAAAACGTTTAGATAAATATATGTGTACTTTTTCTTTATACGTCTTTTTTTAAGTTCTAGTTTTTTTTGTTAAAAACTCTGGATACGATACAAGTTCTATATGTCTAGAATGTATATGTTTAGAATCAAAGTATTCCTAAATCTTAACTCACAAGATGGTGTTGATATTTAATTATTATTGAAAGAAGTGTAACAGCGTCCTGTGAGTTAAAGTTTAGGAATTCTTTGCAGAACTAGAGAAGTATGACAATTCTAGTTTAGTATGTATTCTGACGCTAACCAATCAAGATCGCTTCTAGACAACTTTTTTTCAATTATAGCCCTTTTCAAATGAAAACATTTTTACTAATTTTTGATGTTGGTATTTACTAACCTTGCACTCTGATTTTAAAACGCAGGCACTATTCAAATAGACACAAAGGCAAAATATTACCGATGGATGCATTAAAAAATTTTAATTTTTTTTAAAAACCAGAAACGCCTGAAAGCTTCACTATTTTACTCCCGCCAAAAAGCAGGTCTGTACTATAAGCATTATTTATTATAGGCGCTTTATAAATACCCCTAAATACCGAATAGTCCTTGATAATTATGCATGAATCTCGCTAAGTATCGGGAACAAGTAACGTTTCCTAGTAGAAAAAACATATGGTTTGGCCCGATGCCACCGATACAGAAATAGGAGGTCCAGCCGAATTTAGCATCCCACTGGCCTTTCATGGGGCCTACCTACATTCTAAACATACGTTCTGATTACATCATTTTCACTTCATATGGTAGAGTTTTTAATAACAGATATTTTCGGAAATTTCCAGCCGGTTCATGGATCGATGGCGACGCGTCGCATTGTCGAGTGTTGTAGCTCAATTTTTCTCTTGCTCTCATGGAGATTAATCAGAAACTAATTTCGGGCTTACTTTTTCCAATTTTAAATATTTTTATTGGGGAATACTTAAACGGACGAATTGCTTGACGCTTAGCAAAACCTTGTTTTAGCGAGCTTGGCGTTATTTTAAAACTGATAAAAATAATGAAAATAAGGTCGTAAACCTGTGGCTCTTGTTGATTAATTACAAACTTTTCTTTTCATTTAGTGTCTGGAATATTGTTTTGCTCTTGAAACCACTGTCGCCTTGCGTGTTATAAATATAAGCAATTAAACAGAGTGCGACCATGTGAACACATTAGTAATCATCACCAATTTTTTTATTTTGCTTGAATTGTTGAAAAACCGTGAGTTAAAGGACTTACGTCAGAGAACATGAATCGAATGAGCTCTCTAACATTTTCGCGAAGCAATTTGATTTAAAAATCACATCGTATTAGAACATCAACTATGTGTTTGATTTCTTGCATTTTTATGGCAAATTGATTACATTTTTGTTGATGTGCAAAAATATGACAGAAGTGAGTTGAACTGAATTCTTGTAATAGATCGTTATTGTTTCATTTTATTATATACTCTTGATTTGAATTCAAATTATGCTTTTCCCAAAACTTAGTATAATAATTTGTAACAGAAAATCATCCGATGGCTGTAGATACTGAAGACAACAATTTAGTATTAAATCATTTGCAATCGAACTAAAGTCGATTTCAAATTACTAGGTCAAATCCACCTGACTGATCCAGCGCATGGGATATTTTTAAATATTTTTTTACTGAAAAACAGTCGCGTAGACGACAAAACACAGGATGCTAACAGACTTCTTACTTATAAAATACTCAGCGGTGCTAGCGAAAAATTTGAGGGGACGATAAAGGATAAATATCTTGAAAATTGCAAAAGCTGTTTAAAAACAAATCTTTAAGAATTTGGCTTTCAGCCGTAATCTAGTGTTTAGGAAATGCACTGACAAGGGATCTTTCAAGAGTAACACTGCAGTTTGTTGTGTTTTTCCTAATTACGGTTAACGGTAAAGAGTGGACAAGGTGCACCAACTAAAACGATACTGAGCTGTTTTCTGGGTTGATACTTTGATACAAAAGTTATGCTCGGACACGTTAACTTAATGTTTTCTATTAGATACTTGGCGAGAGAGATATTGAGTTTGCCTCAAACCTTTCTTCCACCCCCTGGACAAGGGATCAAATACCCCTAATTCTAAATGGGAAGAAGGATCGAGTTATACACACATTTAAAGGTTTTTTTAAAGGTCGATACGATGATACAAAAATTGGCCACTTTGAAGCATCCACTGATGGGTAATTCGATGTTTTCTTTACCAACACTAAAATTGCATAATGCACAAAAATACCTAAACCAAATATTCTCAGAAGACTAGTTGGCTAGAGACTAGAGAAAAAATTGAATGGTGTAAAAATTTCAGAGCATTCAGGCCATTCAATTCTCCTCTTCTACCAATTCAATGAGCAGGAAAATTTTAGCAATTTTAAACAGAACTTCCACTTATTCACTTGGAAATTACCGAAACGCTAAAACATAGTAATCATGGGAACTATCAAATTATTCGATAATTATAATTTATTCGAATTATTCGCGACTTCAAACGTCCAGACGCCCCCTGGTGACTAAAATTATAACCACAAGTTAAGTAGTAATGTGACACTTGTTTTGTTGACATTGGTGTCATATTGGTGTTTGCATCTGATTTTGATTTGTTTTGTTGTAATCAACTTTCGCAAGATTTTAAAGAAATACAAACAGACCGACAAGTGTGTAAGTATTGTTTTATGATATAAATGTCATCGACTACAATAAATAAACAAGTCTGACAAGTTTCAACCAGTCTCAACTGACACTCAACAACGCGTAATTTGACGTTTTGCAGCGCCACCATCAGTAGTTAATCTCGCGAACTCGATTCCTAGATTTCATTCAGTGATGGGAACTATCGAATTATTCGATAGTTGTAATTTCAAATATAATTCGATTTAATTATTCGATAGCAGTGTTTTATACAGTTGTTTTCTAATCATCGGATAATCCGATAGCTATCATATTATGTATAATTCGATTGCAATTAACGAATTTAAATTTTAATTAAATGGATTTTCCACTTTTTAAGCAACATGTAATATTAAATACGACTGATTTGCCGAGTTATTATTATTGTATTTCAGGAAAGTAATAAATGCTATAATTGAGATAAAGTAAATATTAATAAATAACAACAGAAAAGGAAAATATATCCACGAAACAATAATTAAATTAATAATTAATGTTTAATTTAAATAAAATGAAAATTTCTATATTTAAAAATCAAATTTTCAATATTATTAATCAAAAATATGATTATATCTAAATTTAAAAAAATAATAATATCAATTAAATAATCCAATTCATTTATATTTGTGGTGGTTTTGTAGATCCCAAATATTTTTTTTTTAAGTTAGTATTTCCTCCAAGTCCTCCAATGGATTATTTCTGTTATATATCGTCTTTGGAAATCCAAATTTGATTATCTCAAAGATATCTAGATCGTCGTGAAATATCTCAAAACAAGTTTCGATATCCATTGTTTTTGTTTTTTGTTTGTTATCGTCATTTTCAATTTTGTTGACTATTGCCACATGTATGAGGAAGGAAACCGGAGGTTAGAATTTACGGCTTAACACCATAAGCCACCAAAGTTGACGGCTTAATTTAAGCTGAGCTTTGAATGCTGTAAGCCTGGTTTATAATGTGGTGCAAACCAATTTAATTTTAAAGCTGAGCTTAATGGCAAAGCCAAGCTTATTTTCAACGGTGCAAACGGGCCTAAACCATGCAAACACAAACAAACGAACTCGAACCGAAACGAAAGCAACGCAAAAACACGTGGCGATACCGCATTGGATTGAATTCCCGAAAGATGCATATTAGGGATGACACAAACCAGTATTTTTCAGTCACAGGTTCCATGGGTGACTGTTCCAAGCTCGTACCAGTTCCAAGTATCTGTGATGTTATTTTGGACCACGATAAATATTGGTTTGTACCTGAAACCGGGCTGAAGCGTATTTTGAGTCCAGTCGGATTAGACTTTAAAAAGCCTGTTTCGGGCACTGAAAATATGATGGTAAAAGATTATTGGAAGTTGTTCGAAAGGATGTCAGAATATTGAGACTATAGTTTGTGCTCGATTTCCGGCTGTGGAACATTGTTTATAAACAATTCTTTATAAATAATTAAAGAAAGTGCGAAAGTCCGTTTTTTTGCGCACAATTGTTGAACCGTTGATGCTATTGAAAAAAAGTTTTATCCCTTTTTTCAAGTATTAAAAATACCTGTGATATCAGATAAACTACTATCCATTAAAATCCGTTCATTCGTTTACTCAAAAAAAAAGCCGTCGATTTCAGCGTTTTGTTAAGTTTCAATAATTAATTTACTTTCGTTTCAAGAAAATGGTACCATAACTTTTTTTGGTCAGTCAATAATGAAATTTTCATTTACTGTACGTTGTAGTATAACTCTTTACCAGTAAAATACAGCATCAGAGAAGTCTTTCCGACGTCTCAAGAAAAATGTATTTAGAATCTGGCAAGAGTCCTTTTTACATAACAAATAGGAATGAACAGAAAGTTATGAATATTTGGAACTAAAATTTATACCACTTATAAAGTATCCAGACACCTTCAAAAAAAGTTATAGTGCCAAAACCAAATTTAATTATAAAAAATTTTACTTTTATCTATTTAGTGCCCCGAAAAAATCTAATCTAATCCGACTGCACTAATTGTTCCATTGAAGGGTATCCACGCCACTTCCTAGTAATTTGGGTGCAATCTGAATCTGCTGGGTCAGCAATAAATTATGACCGAATGCCTTTTGTTCCTTTATGTATGCAAGGGCTGATGTTCAAAAAAAGTCATAACATTTTTTATGAGTAACGTTTTACCATTTTATCGAAACTTTATTTGAACACAAAAAAAAGTGACCACATTTTTTATCTTTCCCACTTAAGGGCAGTCAAATGAGAAAACTATTCTATTTTCATGCCAATCACTGATTACAATTCATCTTATCGCTTAATCGAAAATTGGCCATTTAATATACTTCAGCTATGTTTGATATAAACAAATATTGAACCATGTCCAGACTAGGTAAATAACGCCTATACAAATTTAAATGTAGTTCGTCCACTGCTCCACTGGGCACTTATTTCAGAAGCACTGCTATTGGTCGAAAAAGATCAAGTTTCAAGGACAAGGAACAACTCAGAATTCCGAAAAAACAGGCAGGCAGTCACAACCTGTGACTCACAGGCCTGGTCACATTAAAGAAAATATCGGAGACGGCTGTTACTGCTGTTCCCGATATTTTCTGTTCATTGAATATTGCTATTTTACTTAAAATAATATAACATATTTCCATTCATGATCAAAGTACGTTGGTAATAGCAGACATTTTATTTTAGCACACCTCGTATTTTAGAGTTCTTTTTCAAACATGAAATGAATCAAGCCCGCCATATAGATCATAAATATGATAAAATTATGTTTTATGGATCCTGCAGTAGTGAAATCAGGTTCCCTACATACAATCTATTTCTGATGGTGCATTGATATTTCCAAATTTAATAAATGATAGTGAATTACAAGGTTTGGACACAGAATGACGCATGTTGCAAAATGTTGAAGAAATTTAAAAAATTTCTGGAAATATTGAAGAGTTTTTACTTACTTACTTTTTTACTTCTTTACTTACTCATGTTCATTTTAGTATTCCTGTAAGTTTAAAAATTCAAGTTTTGAAAAACGCGCGAGTTTATGGATCCTTTTTTTTGGTGAGGTTTTGGACCACCCAACCAGCTCTAGGTGTGCGTAACAGAGCATTTCCAAAACCTCACCAGATGGAACCCTTAATAATGAAAGAAAAATGAGTCTACCGATTTTCTACAGAAAAATGTCGAGCTTATCTACCGAAACTCGATTTTCGGACCTGGCAACTGTGGTTGTACTGGTACTGACCAGCATCGTAGGCGAGCCCTGTTATTTCAAATCACATGTTATTTTAAATATCGGTCACAGGTACCGACTGTTCCATATCGATACTGTTCCAAAATACCTGTGACAAGTATTTCGTGTCATCCCTAATGCATATACGGCCATTTGCACCGGTCTTCCTTAAAACTTATTCTTAGCTAGGGATAACTTTGGATTAAGGTTAACCCTAACTACAGACAGCTTTGCACGGCTGTCAATTAAGTGATACTTAGCTAAGATAAAGTTTTACCTGGCAACATTGCTAAAAGTGACAAATTGTCTTTTGCTCCCGGCTTTTCTTTCCAAAATAACCTTTATCTTAGAGCTGAATGCGAGGTTGCCGTTACTGTTTACGTCTCAAATATAATGAATTCATAATATATTATTAAAGTTGGAGTCATTTGAAAATAAAAAACGGACTACATTTTTCTTATAAGGAAAAACCTTAGACTCCCAGTTGGAAGCGAACAATGCTATGTTATGAAGAGGAGCTTCAAA